GACGACATGCCGCTCACGCTTCCGCTCCCACTGGTGAGAATCAATCGTCTTGACCTACTGCTGGGGAAGCTGCGACAGGTGGTTTCCTGGGGTGACCCGGAAGCGGAAAGGGGGTGGTGGACGTTTCCCACGGCCTGTGTAGAGGCGCCGAGGGGGTTCTGGGGGGACGGACGCTTAGACCTAGAGGGCTCGGTGAACAAGCTGGCCGGGCTCCTTGTCCTTAGGAGACACAAATATTACAAGTCACGATGAGCGAGTTTGAGGAGGAAAATGTGGAGGTGGAAGAACGTGGATCAGGCAGACCTTTTTTAAACAAACATGATTTTGTAATTGGAAAAACAAAAATCAAAATTCCAGGCAGAGATCGCCTTCCTCCTGTTTGGTGGTAGAAAGCGTTTTTATTTGTCCAACTGTCTTCGTGAGCTCGTCTGTGTCACACACACACCCAACCTCTATGTACTCCCAGTTCGCCCTTTTAGTAAACTCAGTCGGTGGTTAAACACTAGTTGGTTAAACGGGATTATTGGAAAAGGACATTTCTATATTAGGACGGGCTGACTTACGTGACAATAACAAGCAACCGCCAAATGGCAGTGGCTTGAAATCGCGCAGGTGGGTCTTCTCACTCGTGCTCCGTGGGTGCAGCCGGTGTTGATAGATCGGGGACAGTGCCAGGTGGCGTGGGACAGGCGCCCACAGCTCTGGTCTCGCACAAATAGTGAAACACGCCGCGCTGAATTCACAGACGTCGTTTTTGCTCGCATTTCATTGGCTAGAATTTGTCACCTGGCCCCACTCAACCACAATGGGGTCAGGAAGTGCAGTCCTTTCAATTGCCGGCCAAGTGGGGAGTTAGAAATACATGGTAAATAGCACGGATGACCGGCTAAACACTTGGAACCTTTTATCTCGACCAGGAACATTTAAACTGACATTCATCTCGATAGGTAGGACCAGGAGCTTTTCTGTAAGTCTTGGTCTTCCAGGTATCTTAGGACATCAGATTCCTGTATAAAAAGCACCCACAAACCACAACGAGTCATCTATCCTTTCCAGTTTTTTTTTTTTTTTTTTTTGAAGTGACTTGAGAACCTAAAGACACTTATGAAGCAAACTGAGGGCTGGGTCTTCCTAGGTTTTCATGAGCTTTTCCATTCGGTCATTTACAGTCGCTTTGCAACTAATCTGGCAGCATTTTTTCTTCTTTTCCAGCAACTCACCTTCATTTCCAGTGCAGGCAACCTGGTTTGCATATAAACAAGTCTCTTGCTTTAATATTTCATTAGTTTGATAGGATTAAGTTATTATCTTCAGAACAACTGGCATAAACAGGTTGGGTAACAGACAGCTACTTTTCAGGAAGTGGGCAGCCTAACAGATGGGCGCAGAATTGCTTAGTCATAATCGTAGCGTGCTCGCCAGGGCAGCAGGTTTTGATGAAATGGACGGTGGCTTTCCAACTAGCACACCGGGTAAGCAAGATGGTTTTGGAGAGCTGGACTCTATATTTCGAATAGAATTTCAGTGCGTGCGTTCATTTCACATTCTGACATGTTTCCATTTTTCTCATGCTGGAGTGTATGCTGGCACACATTTCTCCACGCTTATACAATCCACACGTGTCCTGATGGCCTCTTAAGGATGGGAAGCCATCAGCTAGGTGGAGAGCAGAGAGGATGTAAACGAGATCAGTCTGGAGACAGCAGCAGGGGTCACACCATGCAGGGCATTAGAGGAAGAGTCTGTATTTAATTCCAAGGGCACTGGGTGGTTGATTAGTGGAATAAGAGAGACAAGGTGGCAAGAGATGGTGATGGCTTGGAGCAATGAGAATGGTGAGAAATGAGGATTTAGGGAGATGAAGGCAGCTTCTGTCTCTGTGCTGCTTTCTCCTTCCTGCTGCCAGCGATGGGGCGTCCTGACGGGTGATTGACAGGGCTCTGGAGATAACTGTTGATCTCTAGCTTGCGGTCTGGGTGTGAGAGGACTGACTCCCCATTTGGCCACAGTCCAGGAGCGATTAGGGGCTCAGGGCTGGGGAGCCCCGGGACAGGCGGCTTCATGGGTGGGACAAGCAAGGACCAGAAGTGCAACCTGGTCCAGGCTTCCCGAATTTCACTGGCCACTCCTCTTCACTTGCTGGTTGCCCCTCATGGCCCTGACCTCTAAGGGGCTGGAGTGTCCCGGGCTCTGTCCACACACTTGCTCTGCGTGGTCTCATTTGGTCTCTGATTCAAACACTGAAGACTCCGGAAGCGGTGTCTCCAGACTCCCCGATCCCCATTGCTCAGTCAGCATCTCAAACGGAATTGGGGATCCCCAACTGCTCCTTCTGTAGTCAGCTCCATTTCACTAAAACCTTGGCCTCACCCTTCACCCCTCCCTTTCTCTCACTCTGCACAAGTCCTTTGGGCTCCAGCTTGAAAATAAATTGTGAGAATGACCGCCTGCACGGTGGCCACTGCCTGCGACCCATTCCGTGTGTGCTTCCTGCCTGGATTACGGCCAGTCACCTCGCTGCCCTCCTGCTTCCACTCACCCCTTACAATTTTATTTTCAACAGCAGCCAGAGGATCCTTAAAAAAAGATTTAAAGACTTCAAATATTATTTTTCAATAGGTAACATCTGCATGGGGTAAGAATTCCAAATAATCTAAAAGGGTAAACTGAGTCCCCTTTCCCCTTCTGTGGCCCCTTCCCCGCTCCGTCTGCCGCTTCTCTCCTCAGAAGCAACTGTGGGTCCCCGCTTCTGCCGGAGACTTGTAGAGATACTGCGTGTGTGATTCTATGCATCCTATGAATGGTTTAAAACGTGAGACCATATCACTCCCTTGCCAAAAACCTTTTGGTGGTTCCCCAGCAAAATGAGACTAAAATCCTAATTCCATCCCAGGGGGACAGGAACCTGCTTGTGGCCCCTGGCCACTTCCACAGCTCCGCTCCAGCCACAGTGGCCGACCTTGCCTTCCTTCCACTCTCAGGATTTGTGCCCTTGCTGTTCCCTCATCTTAGCACACTCTTCCAGCCTATGTGGAATTGCAGGCTGCCTAAAGGTCACTTCCTGACTTCTCATGGTCCCCATCCCATCGCCCTGTGCATTTCTGCTGTTTATAACACCATAGACTGCCATTGTTTTCTCCAGTGGATCTTGGGCTCTGGGAGGGACCTGGTCTGTTTTGGTCCTCGCAGTACACTCACTGCCCAGCCCAGAACTGGAAATGGTACTGCTCATGATTTTTTAAAAAGAGAAGATAACATTTAAGTCGTTACTGTGCCAAGTACTGGTCTTAATACTTTATTAACTCATTTGATCCTCAGAACCACTTTAGGTTTAGCTATGATCCACATTTAAGAAACAGGGAAGCTGAAGCAAAAAGTCTCACACAACTTCTAGTAAGCGAACACGCAGTCACGTAATAGTTGAGTGAATGAGGGAATCAATGAATGGCCCTGAGGAGGGTGGCAAGAAATCGGGGGAGGTGCGGAGGGCCGTGGGCGGAGCGTAGGGAGCAGGGGACCAATGGGTACGCAGCTCTGGCTGGCGACGTCTCTTGGGATCGCTGGCCCCGCCCAGGCCGCGCGAGGACCGCTGGGAGTTGTAGTCCCCTGCCCACCTAGCCACGTCACTGCCTTCAAACCTTATGGTACGATCGATATCCCCAAACCTCGAGGAAGGTTCCCTCGCCCCCAGGCCCGTTACTCCTTCCTCCCCCCTTTCCTGAGGTCTCTTGGTGTAGCCTCCCGGCTCCGCGACTCACTTAGAGTCTCAAAGTCTCGCGGCGTCCCGACCCCCAGCCCGGGGCCAACTTGGTATCGTCCTCTACGTTCATCTACACCCCCCACCTTTGGGATGGTCTCTCCCGCCACGCCCCCCCCCCCCCCCCCCCCCCAAAGTTGTTTCTCGCACGTCCTCTCGGTCCCTCCCCGCTGGCCCGAGCGGCCCACGGCATCTTCCAATGGCCGTCCTCCCCGCCCCCCGCGCCCTCCCCACTGCCGCAGGCCCCCCCGGCCCGGCTGTGGTACGCGCCGGCCACGCCCCCAGCGGACGGCGTTGGTACGCGCCGCGCTCCCCCGCGCGCCGCAGTGGTTCGGCCGCGGCGACCCCTCTCCGGCGCGCGGACCCGCGCTTGGTCCAGCCCGGCCCGTCGCCCCGCAGCCGCGCGCCCGCGCCCGTCCGTCGGCGGAACCCGCAGTCCCCCGTGCGGCCCGCGCCAGCCCCCGCCCGCCCGCCCGGCCCGCGCCGCCATGGTCCGTCCGCGCCGCGCCCCGCACCGCTCCGGCGCCGGGGGCCCCCTCGGCGGGCGCGGCCGCCCCCCGCGGCCCCTCACGGCGCGCGCCGCCCGCTCGCGCTCCTGGCCGGCCAGCCCCCGGGGCCCGCAGCCGCCGCGGATCCGGGCCCGCTCGGCCCCTCCCATGGTGAGCCCCCCGCCCTTCTTCCAGAGCCTTCCACGGCCCCGCCCCCGCCGGCCCCTCCCCCGGGCTGGCGTCTTTGTCCGTCGCCCCCTCCTTGCCGGGGGCTCCCGGGTGGCCCCAGGGGGGTCCCGCCGGGCCCGCTGCCCCCGTGGAAGCCCGGGTGGTACGCGCCGGGCTCGCCCCTTTGTTACGCGTGCGGGCCGGGGGGCGGGGGTGGGGTACGGGGGCGGGGAGGGTTCAAATTACTGCTGACTCCGCGGCCCGATTTAAACGTGGGGCGGGGGGCAGGCGTTCGGTGTGCGCGCTGCCTTTTCCGATCGGAAAGTTGGTGTTTCTCGGGGTGGGGGCGCGGGGCCCGGCGACCCGCGTACGGCACTGACGCGCCCAGGTGTTGCACCCGGGGGCCTTCTCCCCGGGCTCGCGCCGTGTGCGCCCCGCTTTGCACGCTCGCCCCGATGGGGGATGCCCTCACGGATTGCACACCCTAGACATCAGCATTCCGGTTTGCAGGAACACCAAGCTACAGGGGCTTCCCCAGCCCTAAGGCAGGCACCTGCTTTACAAAAAGCTGGATAAGGTTTCCTTACCTGGAGCGCTGGGAGCGCACACCCCGCCGTTTGCCGTGCTCACGGTTGCCCAGATGTGCGTGTTGCCCTAGGCTGGCGCTCACGCTCACTTTTTCAGTACACTGCCCCGCGTTGGGCACGGCGTGGAGCTGTGGCAGCTCGAGACAAGCCTCACACAGGCTTCTTGGCGTCTTAAACGGAGATGTCCAGACTCTGAACTCTTCCCCAAACTTAAACATAGCGCTGTCTCCACTGCCTTCCCCGCTTCCTTGGGCGTTCACATTTAGTCGTTCAGGAGCGCTTCCTGGGTTTTTAAACATGCACTCTAAGGCTTTCCTTCTCTTCCTAAGTCTCGAGTAGACCTTCCTAGGAAGTAGACGGCAAATCTGACATGGAGGCGCAGCCCCAGACGGCAGGGTTCCTTTAGGGTTGTCCTGAAGCCTGGTCCTTCCGTTCGGTCCTCCCGCCTTGCCGTGGGCATCCTGCTGCTGCAGGTGGGCCCGAGCTTCACGCGGGCATCCCTGGTCTTTACTCTCGGGATGAGATGGCTTTCGAGTCCTGCACGCTCAGCCTGCCGTCCCAGCTAAGCGGACCGTAAATGTGTGTTCCCGGCGCGCACCCTGCCGAGGTCCTTAGGTGCATTCGTGTGAATGCCAGAGGCTCCTCCAGCTGTGGGCTTTCACTCCATTCCCTCCATTCCCTCTGATGCTCCAGCTGTGGAACCTGCAGACTCAGGCCTTCAGCACCCTTCTCCGTCTCAGACACACTCAACCGTGAGACACGCTGGTGTGCTCACACCAGGATACGCTCTCGTTTCTTCCTCGTCTCGTGCGATTGCCCACATCCCGGGGCCACCTGCCCGGATGGGGAGCCTGCTTCCTTAGGTTGCTTTGCTTTTTAAGCCCCCCCCCAAAAACAAAGTTGGTCCTGTGTGTCCTTATTCTGGGACAAGAAGCTTTATAGGAAATTTGGGAAATGCCCGTTAGTAATAAAATGACAGTGACAACCGTTCGGGTTTTCCTGCTCCCTGGAGGTACTTGCTGGTGAGGGTGCCGTGGGTCTCCTGCAGCCGGGCTCTTCCGAAGCCCACCCTTGTTTGCTTTGAGATGTGTTTGATTTGAAAAAAGATAGCTGGGAGAGTGCCCCGGGAGGAGAATGTGCAGCCTTCCTTGGCTCTGTTGCTGGAAGCTTCTCTTGGTGTTATGCAAACCCTGTCCAGATGTTGTGTGGGAGGCCCCTCCAGGTGTTGCCCCCCTCCCTCTTCCAGATGCATCCCCACCTCCCGGCTGGTTCTGTTCTGTGTGCTTCTGGTCGCCGCCTCCCTGGGGCAGCCTGATGTGGGGAGGGCAGGTCGGCGACTGCCTGGGAAGGTTGGCAGGAGCCAGAGGGAAGAGTCTGGACTTTGTCTGGAGGGCCACGGGGAGCCCTGGAGGGGCGGGATGGGGCGGACCACGTGTCAGATAGACAGACACACACGGCCCAGGCTGGCTGGTGCATGGTGGGGCTTCGAGGAGGCCCTGGAGCCCTGGAGAGCTGGCTTCTGCATTGGGTCTCGACAGAGGGACCCAGAATTGACGAGGCCCGGAGAACGGGTGGGTGGCACCTCCTTGGGGGTGGGGATGGCATTCCTGGCCAAGAGCACAGCTGGAGCGAAGGCTGGAGGGGGAAGCGGGCGGTGGCTCTCAGGGACCCTACACGGGCCAGTGATGAGGTGACAGACGGCCTCTGGGTGGGAGGAGTATGGAAGTGGTGGCAGGAAAAGGATGTGGGGGTCAACCACGTGGGGTCTTGACCCCTAGGACGAGGAGCTTAGATCTGGTCCCGGGAGTTCTGAGTGGACGATTTGGGTCTGAGCATGGGGATGGGGGTGTGGGGGACAGCCTGTCCTTGTGCGTCCCCCAGCCTCAGTTTCCCCACCCCCCTCTGCTGCAGCAAGGTGCTCGGGTCTTCGGGGCCCTGGGTCCCATCGGGCCCTCCTCACCCGGGCTCACCCTCGGGGGCCTGGCTGTAGGCGAACACCGGCTGAGCAACAAGCTGCTGGCCTGGAGCGGCGTCCTCGAGTGGCAGGAGGTGAGCTCGGTCAGGTCCCCTTGCCAGTCCCTGTGGGGCTGCCCCTGCGGTGGGGGCAGGCCCGGGCGTCTGGGCTGTGTCCAGTGACCCCTCCTGCTCCCGCCACAGAAGCGCAGACCCTACTCGGACTCCACGGCGAAGCTGAAGCGGGCCCTGCCCTGCCAGGCCTACGTGAACCAGGGCGAGAACCTGTGAGTGCCGGGCGGGTGTGCGGGGGCAGGGACGGGCGGCCGGCGTCCCCTGACCTCTTCTCCCCGCAGGGAGACTGACCAGTGGCCCCAGAAGCTGATCATGCAGCTCATCCCCCAGCAGCTGCTGGTGAGACCCGCCCCCAGCCCCCCAGCCCGTGCCTCAGAGCCCCCACCACCCCAGCAGTGACCGGCTGTCCCCTTGTTGCCCCCAGACGACTCTGGGCCCCCTGTTCCGCAACTCGCAGCTGGCGCAGTTCCACTTCACCAACAGAGACTGCGACTCCCTCAAGGGGCTCTGCCGCATCATGGGCAACGGCTTCGTGAGTGCGGCGGGGCGGGGCGGAGGGGGCCGGGGTGGCAGGCCGGCGCTCCCGGGGATCTGGGAGAGCATCCATGCGCCGTCCCCGCCGGGAGGTTAGGGTCTGAGAAGTTCTCGGTGCAGCGGAGAGTGGAGGATCCGGGCCCCGCTGAGAGCTGCCTGTGCGGGTGGTGGAGGCCCGGGCTGGCTGTCCTGGGCCTGGGACGCAGCCTGGGGGGCAGCTGGTGAGCCAGGCAGAGGGTCATGGGCGATGGTCGGGCTGACACCCCCTGGAGGCCACCGGACCAGTGAGTGTGGGAAGTGCCCTTCAAACACAGGGCCGGCAGGAAGTGGCACTCGGCCTGAGCCCTGCAGCCCCAGAGTCCACGCCCTAATTTCAGTGGGTGCTGGGAGGGGGTGGCACGAGGTGGGGGTGCGTCTTCTGCCCAGGACCCCCAGACAGCTTGGCTCTGGGGTTTCCTCCAGTCCTGGTTCCTTTTGGGACAGGCCCCCCCACCTCCCGGCCGCTGCCTGCAGCGGACACTGTGTGCCACACCCCTCACGTCCAGGCGCATCCCGCTCCCTCGGGGCCTGGACAGGCCAGGGCTTGTGGCTGGGGTGGGGTCTCCTGCCTGCCCGTCACCCCTTCGTCCAGCACCATTGCTGAGGGCCTGCCCTGCACAGCCCCCAGCGCCCCCAGGAGTGCAGGCTGCAGGGAAGGTGGCTGTCATGTGCCCTCTGTGACTGTTGGCCGACGCTGCTGCCCCCGTGGTGGCTCCGGGAGGGCCGGCTGCACGTGGATCCCGGAGCCCAGGGCCGGGTTCCCCGGGTGGGCAGGCCCTGGGGATGAGAGAAGGCAGGCAGCGCGGGCAGGGGTGCCCGGAGGTGGCCTGGGAAGTACACGCCCCTTCTCCCGGCCCCCAGATGGGGCGGTCTGTCAGGTGTACATTCTCCACGTCCCACGGAGGTGGCACCAGCATCTCACGTCAGGAGCATTTATGTGGCACTTACTGCACGTGCTGTCGTTATGCCGTTTTACAAATGGGCAAACTGAGGCCGGGAATCCTGAGGTGATTTGCCTTGGGTTGCACAGCTAGGAGGTGGCAGAGCTGTGGTTGCACCAGGCAGGTGGGTCCCATGGCTGTGCTCTCAGCTCCAAGGCCAGGTTGCCTCCATCCTGGTTGTAGATGGAGCCCTCAAGGTCCTTACACCCTAGTGGACGTGCCAGGCCCTGGCCCTGACCGTGATCATGGGGTTCAGGGACTCCGCGGGGCACATGTGTGCGTGTCTCTCACTGTGGACTGGGCTGTCCCACGGTGACCTCATCACCTGGACGAGCGGTCTCGGGTGGCGTGGAGGGGCGTCTGGCTTGGCCGGCAGTGCCCCGCAGCCTGACCTCCTGGCCCCCCCCAGGCGGGCTGCATGCTCTTCCCTCACATCTCCCCATGCGAAGTGCGCGTGCTCATGCTGCTGTACTCGTCTAAGAAGAAGATTTTCATGGGCCTCATCCCCTACGACCAGAGCGGCTTCGTCAATGCCATCCGGCAGGTCATCACCACCCGCAAACAGGTGTGCGGGGCCCGGGCCGCCCGAGCAAGGGGCCTGGCAGGAGGGTCGGCTGCCCATGGGGAGGGGCAGGTGGGCACACCCGTGGCGGGGGGCAGGGGGCTCCAGAAGATGACCACGTGTCCTGCTTCATGCTGAACCAGTTATTCATGCTGTCCCTCTCTCCTGAAAAGGTCCCAGTTTGTGCATCAAATTCTCTGGTTGCTCAGGCCGAGGGGCCGTCCCCACGGGCTCCGTACCCCAGGCTGAGGGGCCGGGCCAGCCCTGGGGAGTCCTCTGGGGCTGTGCACAGGCTGGAGCCGGGCAGCCAGAAGGAAGGCTGGGGCGCAGGTCTCCTGGGCAGGCCGGGCGGGGACAGCATGGGCCCCATGGCTGGGGCACGGAGGAAGGGTTGGGGTGGCCTGGGACAGCTTTGCGGTTCCCAGAAGCCACTTCTGGGGATTACTGCCGTCTCTTTCCACAGGCAGTGGGACCTGGTGGCGTTGCCGGCCCGGTCCAGATCGTCAACAACAAGTTCCTGGCTTGGAGTGGAGTCATGGAGTGGCAGGAGGTGAGCCCTGCGGTGGCCCGGGTGGCCGCAGGACCAGCGCATCCTCGCTGACTCGTGGCCTCCCGCTCCCGGTGGTCTCACCTCTCTCTCTCCCCAAAAGCCCAGACCTGAGCCCAACAGTCGGTCGAAGAGGTGGCTGCCGTCGCACGTCTACGTGAACCAAGGGGAGATCCTGTGAGTGTCGGGCTGGGGCGGGGGTGGCGTCTCAGTGAGACCCGGCCTCCTGAGTTCGGTCGCCGTGTGTCCCGCAGGAGGACTGAGCAGTGGCCGAGGAAGCTGTACATGCAGCTCATCCCACAGCAGCTGCTGGTGAGTGGTGACGGGGGTGCGAGGCATACCAGGTCGGCGTGACAGGAGCTGTTCTGGACCTGGGGGGGTGGCTTCCCCAAGAAGGAGACCTTTGAGTTGCCAGCTGGAGGAGGAAGGTAGAAGCATGTTATGTGCAAAGGGCCTGTGGCTGGAGGCTGGCCTGCCTGGTGTGTGGAGGCCAGCAAGGGCAGGGGCATGGGGCCCGCAGCCCTGCTGAGGGTCACAGGACCTGTGTGAGGGCGTGACCTGGGCCTCGGCCCTCCACCGGGCAGCGTGGCCATGGGCTGTGCCAAGCTCTGCCAGCCCCTCGGCTTGCCCGCAGACCACCCTGGTGCCGCTGTTCCGGAACTCGCGCCTGGTGCAGTTCCACTTCACCAAGGACCTGGAGACACTCAAGAGCCTGTGCCGCATCATGGACAACGGCTTTGTAAGTGTGGCCGCGGGAGGCCGGCGCCAGGGGGGCTGGGGGAGGGCTGGGGCCACGTCCGCGCAGGGCTTTACAAACTGAAGTGAGACAGACCAGCAGTGGCGGTGTCCCCACAGGCGGCTGGGGAGAGTGATGGCAGCTCCCGGGCCACGTGACTGCCCTGGGGCTCTGGGGGCCTAACCCACCTTACAGATGGGGAAGGAGAGGTTCAGGCGGGGCCTCAAGGCCAGGGCGGGACTGGACCCCTGCGGCCTCAGGAGGGTCCAGTGTCCAGTGCTGACCCCGAGCTCCCGGCTCGTCACCTGCCCACCTCCTGCTCCCTCCCGGGGCTCCCGGAGGCTCTGCTCCAGCGGCGGGCAGTGGGGGTGGCGTGCCTGCCTCCAGCCCGAGCCCCTCAGCACCCCATCTGGCTGTTGGAGAGTCTCGGCCCAGTCCTTTCCTCTTCGGGCCTCAGTTTCTCCACCTGTGAGGCGGGGAGGGCTGGACTTGGGGGTTTCAGAGGCTGCAGCCGGCGCTGTCCACTGTTGTGGGGATCTGCCGTTCCTGGGTGACGTCGGTGCCCACGTCACCTCCCTGGCTCTCAGTCCGCTGTAGCTGCCACAGCCGTGCTGTTGTGCATCTGAGGGGCTGGTTGTGTGTCTTCCACGTTAAAGAGTCTAAAAGCATAGAGTTCCCTCGGCGAACCCCATAATGCCCCGTGTGCCTCTGGCTGGGCCTCCCCTGGGCGCACGCCGGTCCCCATGCAGGGCCCGGGGCTGTGGGCCACGAGCTGCCAGCCTCCCCTGGGGCTTGTGAGGCCTGGCCACCGAGGGAGAAGAGAGGAGCTGGGAAATGGATCGGGAGCCCCAGGTCCCCCTTCCGGTGACCCTGAGCCACACCCCCGCCTGGAGTCAGCGGTCAGCACGCTGCCCTGGCCTTGGGGGCATGCAGGGGTGGGGGGGGGCCTTAGTGCCGGGCCTCCTGGGCACGTCTCCCCAGAGTGGCCTTTGTGCCGGGTCGTGGTCCTGGTCCACCCTGTCTGCTGTGGGCCAGGTCCCTTTTTGGGGATGATCCGGGTGTTGGCCTGTGTGGCATCGGTGGCACTGTGGGCAGTGGGCGCCGCCATCTCCTCAGGGCAGAGTCCTGGGCCGTCTGTCTCCTCGTCCCCAGATGGCAGCGGTCCTGGGGCCGTGGGGACAGAGCCCCAGGACAAGCCGGGTGGGCGTTGTGGTGCCGGCGGCGGGGGCGTACGCGGTCCCCGGTGCCCGCCGTGACGCCGCGCTCCGGCCACAGGCGGGCTGCGTGCACTTCTCCTACAAGGCGGCGTGCGAGGTGCGCGTGCTCATGCTGCTCTACTCGTCCGAGAAGAAGATCTTCATCGGCCTCATCCCCCACGACCAGGGCACCTTCGTCAGCGGCATCCGGCGTGTCATCGCCAACCAGCAGCAGGTCCTGCAGCGGAACCTGGAGCAGGAGCAGCAGCAGCGAGGGGTGAGGCGGGCGCCCCGGGCGCGGCCCCCTGCCCTGCGGCCCCTCCATGCTCACTCTTCCCCGCTTCCCCCACAGATGGGGGGGTAGTGGCCGCCCCCGGGCTGGGCCCCTCCAGGAGTCACAGACGAGGCCCCTGCCAGGACTGGTGAGTGGCACCCGGGTCGCGTGCAGCCTGGAGCCTTGGACGTGCCGGGAGGGTTCCGGAAGTGGTGTGACCCTGGCCTTGAGAGACCAGAGAGAGGCACGGCCGTCCCCCGTGGGCCCAGGCCTCCTGGGCAACGCCAGCCCCAGGCCCCCCACCCTCAGAGGCAACAGAACTGGGGTCTCCAGGCTGGGCAGGGGCCTTGGGGCTCAGGGCCTGGGGGTCCAGGGGCTCCTGGAGCCTGCGTCCAGCCCCCCCACCATCCCCCTGCCCCCAGGTCAGATGCTTCTGAGCGGGGGCCCCTGGGGACTGCAACTGCCCAGCGAGATGGAGGACAGAGTCCTGAGATGTCTCCAAGGACGGTCCCCACCCCTGTACGTTCCCTAATAAAGTCTTTTAAAAGCCCGCCGGCTGCCGTGCTCGCTGTCCAGACGCCGTGGCTCGGAGAGGCCGAGCCCCTCCAGGGACAGCAGTCCCCGCACCTGGGCGCCGTCGGTCCCCAGAGGGCTGGCGGCTAGGCCCACGCCTCGAGTTTGGGGCCAGCTGGGCGGGGCCTGTGCGGCCCTAACAGATTCCCGGGTGGCCGCCTTAGGGCTGCTCTGAGCTGGGAGGGAACGGGACCTGGTGCGGGCCGTCCCCAGCTGACGGGGCGGGCAGGGCTTGGTGGCCGCATCCTCAAGGGCCTTTCTGGGGCCGGCTGTGCTCTGAGATTCCCCTGCCCGGTGTCCCCAGCTGCGTTCCCGTTCCCTTCGGTTCCCTTCGGTTCCCTCCGGACTCAGGGCCCCGCTGCGCTGGGGGCAGACACGGGGTGGGCGGGGCCTGGTCCGCCTCCTGGGATGGGTGGCGAGCTGCGGGCCTGGCCGCGCTCTCAGCCCCCACGGCCGCAGGGCCCAGGCCCCGGGTGCAAGGCCGGCGGGCAGAGCGCTCGCTTCTCACGGAAGCTGCGCTCCAGCTCTCGGCCTCGGCGTCGCCTGCTCGGCCTTGCCAAGCTCTGGGCTGGGTCATGCGGGCGCCACAGCGGGGGCGGCCACGCGTGGAGAGAGCCGCTCTCGGGGTACGCCAGCAGCCGTGGCCCTGAGAGGCCGGAGTCCCCACTGCAGGGGAGGCGGCGGGCCGTGGCGGGGGGAACCGAGTGCCGAGCTGGGACAGAGCCCGCCCCCCCCATGCCCCTCCCGGGACCGGCCGCTAGCCTGGCCTGGGCACCAGCAGGCAGCTCGTGGGGCGCCCACCAGACCCCCCCCCCTCCCCCGCAGAGCGCTGGCCAAACTTAAAGAAAAAGAGCATTTATTGGGGGCGGGGCGGCTCAGCCCTCGGAGAACTGGCGGTACAGGCGCTCGAGCCGCGGCTCCACGCGCAGCCGGAACGGGATCTCCAGAATCGCCGAGAAGCCTTCGGCCAGCGTCGGCGCCTCGAACTGCTTCCTGGTGGCAGAGCGGGGTGAGGGAGGCGACCGACCCCCTGGGCCCGCGCCAGCCCGGGGTGCTGCCGCCCTCGCCTACCTGTAGCCGAACATGACCACGTCGGACACGGGCGCGTGCGGGGAGCCGCTCATCTCCCGGAACTGCGGGGGGGCGGGGGGGGGGTGGAAGGGGGGTCAGGCTGGGGGAGGGGAGGGAGGACGGGGGTGCAGGGGGCGGGGGGCGGTCAGGCTGGGGGAGGGGAGGGGGCAGGGGGCGGGGCACCTGGGGGGGCTGCTCACCCGGTTGTTGTGGCGCGCCTGCTCCAGGGAGGCGCTGAAGAGGAAGCAGCGGCAGGGGACCCCCGCGTCCTGGGCGCACTTGACGTACCTGGGGGCCGGGAAGGGGTCGCTGGTTAGGGGCCCCGGGCCACCCCACGGAGGGCGCCCGCCCACGCGTACCTGGCCCGGCTCTGGACGTCTGGGTTTGTGTTGTCGATCACGACCCGCTTCCTCTGCCTGAGAGCTGCCTCGCACGCGGTCACACAGCGCTGCCACGAGCCCAGAGTGTCCTGGGGCGGGGAGGGCAGTCAGGCGGGCAGGAGACCCGGGGACGGGGACTGGGGGGGACAGCGAGAGAGACACTGGGGAGCAGGGCGGAGGGGGAGACCCCGAAAGAGGACGGAGATGCAGGAGGAGCGGAAACCTGGATGGGGACACGGGACGGCAGGGAGCGGGGAGGGAAGCCGGGGCGGGGGACCGGGACTGAGGACCGACGCGGGCTGCACACCCGTCCTACCCTGTTCACGTGGACGTATCCGGCCGACACGAGATGCTCCTGGAGGAACGTGGACTTGCCAGCTGCGGAGAGGGCGGTGTCAGTGGGAGCCCGGGGCCTGGAGGGGGCTGGGGCTTCTGGAGGTCAGACGTCAGGGGTCAGGGTGTCTCACCCCCTGGAAATCCCACGGCGACAACCACCTCGGGGTCGGAGCTCAAGAGGGAGCTGGACTCAGGGAGGCAGAGCGGCCCGGAGGGGGAGATGGTCCTCTGGGAGGGGGCCGTGATGAGTGAGGATGCCCCCAGCTGTCCCATCCGGTCCCCCCGCCCCGGCCCCGGCCCGTGGGCCTCACCGGATCGAAGGCTGGGAGCTCAAAGCCGGCCACCGGCCACTTCAGGAAGAACTCCTCGGGTGTGGCGAAGGGCAGGCCAAGGTTGAGGGCAAACTGGGGGCGAGGGCGGAGGTCAGACGGGGCGAGGGCCGGGCTCGGGGGGCGCGGGCGGAGGGCCTCACCAGGCGGTCGGCGCAGGAGAAGTCTTTCTTCTTCCGCCCAGGGGCCCAGTTGGCTGGGCGTCCAGCTGCGTCTGGAACATACGGAGGACACACCGGGTCACCACCAGCCCCCTCCATCAGCGCTGAGGGTCCACACACTGCCCCCACCCCCAGGCCCTACCTCCCACGAAGACACTGTCCCTGATGGAGATGGGCACGCCCTCGTTGGCCTGGGGACAGACAAGAGGCATAAGGAACCAGCTCCCACGTCTGCTCCCCCAGAGCATGGCTGGTTCCCCGGGGGACGCTCAGCGGGTCTGTGCCCCGAGTCAGCCCATCTCTAACCCTCCATGCCCCTCATCTGACACATCAGCAGATTCCGTGGGCCCCCAACTGCAGCCACTTCTCACTCCCTTCACTGCTATCGCCTCCACCATGGCCACCAGTGTCGCCCACCTGGACTATTCAGCCCCTTCTGGCTGGTCTCGCCCCCTCTATACTCCACGTGGCCACCATGGGCGCCGGGTCCTGGCCCACAGGGCCGCACACAACCTGACCCCTGCTCACCCTCTGACCTCATGCTGTGCCCTCTCCTCTTACCCGCTCAGGTCCAGCCCCAGGCCTCACTGTGCCACACACCGGGCTGCCCTCAGGGCCTTTGCACCTGCCGGCACCTCCACCTGGACCACTTGTGCCTAGAAACCCACATGGCTCCCTGTCCTGTTCACTGACACCGTCAGCTCAAGCGCACGCACGAGTGAACGAGCGAATGAGTGACTCACTGAGCGACTTCTCGCTCCACCACTCTGGTTGTCAGAGTGTAAGCGCATCCGCCTCGCATCCCCACACTAGAAGGTGAGGCCCGGGGAGGAGATGAGAGGAGGAGAGAGGCGGCTAAGGAGCAGAGGCGGCGTGGGGAGGCCGCCCGGGAGCCGGGGCTGCGGGGCGAGGCGGAGCGCCCGGGAGGCCGTCTCACCTGCTCCTGCAGATGGTCCCACATGCCGATCACCGGCTTCCGGTACAAGCCGGCGTGCGTGGCCACCAGCACCTGTGGGCAGGGTGGGGACAGACACTGTCCTCAGCGCCTCATCAGGCTCCCAGAGCCCTTCAAGGGCACGTGGGTCCCCAGGGTGCTCCCCAAGCCCTGCCGATCCAAGGAGAGCCCCCCGTGCCCCAGAACCGGCCACTCGGGGCGGGTTCTGTCAGCACAGCCCCACCCGGGGCCTGCGCCACTCAGCAGGGGCTCTGCTGCCTCCTCTCTGCCCCCCACCGCAGTGTCCCTGTCCCCCAACATAAGCAGCAGCTGTACCTGAAAGGGGACCCCCAGCTTCTCCAGCACGGCCTCCACCTTGGCCTTGAACTCCTCCGCTGGCAGCTTCCTGCGCCCGATGCCCATCTGGTTGGTGAAGATCACCAGCTGGGGAGCAGATGGGTGTCACCGGTGCCCGTCTCACCAGGCCCCAGCCTGCCCCGTGGGCTGGCCACTGCTTGCACGCAGACACACACACACACTCTCTCACACACACACACACACACACAACTCACCTTGTAGCCCTCGGCATCCAGCTCCCGCAGTTTCCGCGGAATCTCTGGGTACAAGATCCTAGGCCGGGCAGGAAGTGGCAAGGTGACCTGGGGCTCCGAGGGGGCCTCACTCACCCCCTCCTCCGGCCTCTGCTCACCTCCAGTCACTGGGGCCGGTGGGAAAGACCTTCCCGGAGCGTGTGGTGATGAGGGTCCCATCCAGATCAAAGCCGGCCACCTGGCATCACCAGAGAAGAGGAACAGCGGCAGCGTTACGCCTCTGACGCCCCTCACTCACAGGCTGCGAGGTGGGACTATTACCACCCGCCCCTTATAGATGGGGAAACTGAGTCATAGAGCGCCTACACGTCTTATATAAGGACAAGGCACAGCAGGATGTGTCCCATGTGTTCCTGACACCTGAGTATAGAGCCTGCAATCTTCACTGGACCATCTCTCCCACTCCTCCTAAGACCCTCAGTATTCCAATCTTTAAAATGGGGCTCCTGGGGCTGGCCCGGTGGTGCAGCGGTTAAGTGCACACGTTCTGCTTCAGCGGCCCGGGGTTTGCTGATTCGGATCCCGGGTGCGGACATGGTACCACTTGGTAAGCCATGCTGTGGTAGGCGTCCCACATATAAAGTAGAGCAAGATGGGCACGGATGTGAGCTCAGGGCCAGTCGTCCTCAGCAAAAAAAGAAAAGAGGAGGATTGGCAGCAGTTAGCTCAGGGCTAATCTTCCTCAAAAAAAAAAAAAAAAAGGTGGGGGGCTCGTATCCGACCCCTGCTCTTCCCCTGGCCGTGAAAATAAAAACAGGAGCCGAGCTTTGTTTGGGTGCTGACTGCCCGGCAGGGACGGTGCCACGTGCTTCCCACGGATTCGTCATTTCACTGGTGGGAAGTGGGTCTCAGAGAACACGGTGTAACAGCATCTGAACTCGTGTCTCTGGACCTGAGAAAGACTCATCATAGTAGCTCCTGCGAAAATGTTCGTGAGCGTTGCTATGGTCACTGGGCAGTCACTGTGGGTCAGGCAGGAGCTGACATACGTCAATTCCCCCAGTGCTTACAACCCCTGAGTGTGTCATCGGGGCCATTTCTCAGAAGAGAAAGTGGAGGCTAAGAGAGGTTGAGTGACCTGCCCAGGGGCACACAGCAAACCTGGGCTTGAGTCCCCAGTCTCTGGTGGCTCCCTCAGTTCTCAGCGGGGCGCTCACCTTGCCCCGGGGCCTCACGCCAGGTGCTGTGAACACCAGCAGCTTCTCGAAGCTCTCCCAGCCGGGGGATGACTTCCGTATCCGCTTCTTCGGCTGCTCAACATCCTCCTTGTGGTCTGGGGCCGCCGGAGGTGTGCCAGGTGGAGTGTCTGGCTGGGATTCTGCCGTGCGGGCCTCTTCCCAGCGCAGGGTCAGCGGGTGGAGGCCGTTGACCAAATACAGCGTGTCCCCCACCCCCAGAGAGCCCTTGGACCCCGGGTTCAGCACCTGCGTCCCGGCAGTTGAGGGGTTAATTCCCAGCTGTAGAGGAAGAGGGAGGGGCTGGGACTGGCTCCGCCCCCACCGGTAACCTCCTCCAATCAAAAACCTCAGGACAGACCGTGCCTCTCCAACTGCCAATCAGACCCTTAAGCCCCACCTCTTCACTGTGTACCACCAATCAGAGCTTTGGAAAGGTTACAGGCATCCAGTCTTATCCAATTTAAATTGTGCTGGACTTTGACCCCACTGGAACGGGCCACACCCTCTTCCCTCCCAGCCAGTCCGATTTTCCCAAAGGGTCTGCTCCCTGCTGGGTAGTGATTCTTCCCTGACACCGCCCCCGGGCCTCGCTGACAAACTGGTACCTGCTTCACTGCCACGGTCCGAGTCTCAGGGTCCGCGACCAGCTCCACTGAGGTGGGGGCGGTGAAGTCAGGATTTGCATCATTGCGTTATTGCTTCCCCAACCCCTGGGGAGCATAGCCAGCTCCAGGCCACAGGATGGGGCTGAGCACCCATGCAGGAGGAGGAGCAGTTTATTTCTAAAACTAGTTTGTTCCTGGACAGATAAAGGCCTTAGGACTGCCTGTGACACTGGTCCTCGCCTAGGGACAGGGTGGGTGTTTTTCTGTACAGAACTGGCTTCTCCTGCACGAAGAGGTGGCCAGATGCCGGTCCTGGGCTTGGCCCGCTACCACCCCTCCCTGCTGAGCAACACGCACTTTTCTCCAGAGGCTCGGCTCTCTCCTGACAAGGGTCGGGGCCTGATGCGCGCTTTCACGGGGCACTGTGAGCATCCTTCTCTGCCTAGTGACTTGTCTCGGGATTGGCGCCATCCCCTTCCCCCTCAAGGGATCTGGCTGGTTCCAGGTCCGGGGCAACCTTTCTCTCCAGCTCCCCAGAGGGCCCCTACTAACTTCAGGCCTGGCTGCAGCACGCGTTCCGCCTAGTGCCAAGCACGTCCCTTTCGGGATTGACTGTGCATGGTTCCCATCGACTGCGTTCCCGCTCCTGCAGCAGGCCACACCCCCTCCAGCTCAGACCCCGCCCCTGCCCACCTTGGTTTCTGGAGCACTTCCGGTCGGTAACCTGGGTCAGGGGTCCCCGGCCTAGGACCAGAGCTTGACCGTCGGAGGGAAGGAAGATGGGGGGCGGCCCCCCAGGGGGGCTCTCCAGCCACAGGCGGCCCTGCGCCTCCCCCTCGGCCATCCTGGGCGCCTGCCTGCGGGGAAGCAGGTCAAGAGGTTTGAGTGGCAGGTGGCCCTCGGACTGCTGCAGGAAGTCCCGCCTCCTCTCGCCCCCTCCACGGGGAATTCCCTCCATCCCCGGAAGGCTCCGGAAATCCCACCCACTCGCCGGCCGGGGGGCGCGTTTCCCAGACGACGACGCCCCGTTCCGGCCCTCGGGGAGCCGGGACCCCGCGCTCACCCGCCCCCGCCGCCTGGGCTCGCTCCCGCTGCCGACCGGGGAGGGCCCGCCCGCAGCTCCGCCGGCCGCTCGCTGGGCTCCTGGCGGACGGAAATGACTCGTCCCGCCGACGGGGCGGGGCCTGGCTCCTCCCATGACGGAGGCCCCGCCCCCGGCCCCCACGGTCCCTCCGCAGCTCTGACTTTCGTCTCTCTTGCTGCCGTGGGAGGCTCAGGCCAGCAGGGGGCGTGGGTCCTCCGTCCAGAGTCTTCACGTTGAGCTCTAACTTTCATTCCCTGGGCTGGAGATCTTTACAGCGGGAGGAAGTGCTTTCCCATTTGAGGATCACTCTCGGTGGAAGAAATCCCCGCCCCCGACAACCCTCCTCGCCCTCAAGGCGGTAGTTTTCTCATCTATAAAGTGGGGATAATCGCTTCCACTTGGTGGGGTTACTAGAAGGTGAAAGGAGTGAATACATGTAAATAACTTGTAACAGTGTTTGGGTGTCAAAGCACATGATCCATAACCAATCTATAAATGAAAATTGGGGTGAGTTTATTCTGAGCCAAAGGTGAGGACCATATAGCCCGGGGCCTTCCTTCCCCAAGGAGGGAAGGGCACGAAAGAAGTGGGGTGTACAAAGTGGTTATATGACCTCAAAGAGCATGTGTCACATACGATTTTTACAATAGCCACGAGACTGCTGTCCGCACAGCAAGTGGTGGACACAGCAGGGTGGCAGGTGTGCTGTCTCGAGCTAGGTGGTCACAGGTGAGCTGGGTGGTCACAGGTGAGCACAGCAATCAGTTCCTAGCCTAAGGAGAGATGCTTATCCTTGAGGAAATGCCAATGTGGGGGCAAGTTGCATCTTTATCTTAAGGGCTTTTGTCTCGCCATAGGAAATGCTGAAAGCAGAAATACAATGCGTGCTCAACGGCCACGTCAGGCCCTTTTGGAAAAACAAAGTCAGGCAGAATTAGGTTTACACCCAATGGCTTCTTCATATACTCCAATATATCCTATTGCCTGCCGTTTCTATTTGTCAGGGCGCTAGTTTGCCCTGTTTAATCTTGTCCATCGTTTACCGTTGGCCTGACCCAGCCCTAACTTCGGGCCAGGTCGCCGTTCTCTGACCTCCACCCTTATATTAGAGGGGAAACTCGCGGCCTCAATCGCAGGCTCCCGGCTTTGCTTGGGTTCACGTGCTCTCAGGAGACGGATTCCTTAAAGACCAACTCCGATTACAACTCTGTCCCCCCAACCCCCCGCCAAGACTGGAGCTCCACGGTCACACAGGGCTGGCACTGTCCCTCCTGCCCCGTGAATCTCCGTTTTCTTGTCTGTGATTTGGGGACAATAATTCCAACTCCCAGCTTCGCACTGAAAATCAAGGCGATGCTAATCCCTTGGCTTCACAAAATGTTTGTTGAATGAACACCCACAACACACCTCATACTCATTTGCCAGAGGTAAAACTCTTTAATCTCAGAGCGCCCCTCCCAACTTCCGATGCCCACCCCCCACTCTCTCCCCCACACCAGGGCCGGAGAGTGAGGCCCCCTGCCCCCCACCTTGGGTGGACGAGGGCCCTTTAAGGCACCTGTGGGGGTGGGGGGAGAGGGGCGGGAGCTGGTACCGTCCTGGATGCAAGGACGGGCTTCGATTGGCAGGCTGTTGTGGGATGGGACCAATGAGACGGTGTCAGACGCAGGGACAGGACTGGGCCATCCCTGAGGTGGCCCCCTCAGGGACAAGTTGTCAGGACTTGGGCCAAAACGGCCCTAGCCCCAGTAGTGTAAAGAACGTAAATTTAAGGCCACAGGTTAATCCTGGGCGCAGGGGGAGGGTCGGCCACGCCCCCAAGAGGCTGGAGCCAATCAGCCAGTGGGACTAGGGAAGCGCAGACGGTGACTCTGGCGATTGGCCAAACCCTCTGGGCTCGGGCCAATCAAATGAAAGAACTGCCTATTCCCTAGGCTGAAGTGGAGGGCCACCAGCCAATCCTGGGGCCTGGCTGTGCTCTTCCAGGGAAGGAGCCAATGCCGGGGGAGCAAAGCCCTTGTTGCTAGGCAGAAAACGACGGAGGAGACCCGCTCAGGGCTTAGAACTAGCCCCGCCCCGACCGGGGAGCGAGCCAACCCCTTAGGAGAAAGCCTGTCGCCGGGCGGGGCGAGCGGCGATCAGACCCAATCAGGGAGCCGGCTCGGCGCAGGAGGGCGGGGCCGGAGGGCGGTGGGGCCGCCGGGGGCCGGTCCCGGCTCGGGCTCGGATTGGCGGGCCCCGGGGGCGGGGCGGGGGTGTAGTGTGGGCGGGGCGACGCCGGCCGGGCAGCGCGCTCCCGGGGCCTTAGTATTTCCGCTTGAGCTTCTGGAAGTCGCTGGTGTTGAGCCGCGGCCGCGGCAGGTCCCCGAAAACCTGGGTGTCCTCGGCCTCTCGCAGCACCAGCGCGCGCATGCTCGCCGCGATGCGGTCCAGGTCGGGCGAGGAGGGCTGCGGGCACGGGACGGGGTCAGCAGCGGCTGCGCCCTGGGCCCCTGCGATGCCCAAGGCCCCCTTCACCCTGTCCTGCTCCACGTAGCGTTCTTCTCGACTCGGACACCTCCTCCTCCAGGAAGCCCTCCTGCCCTTCTCCTCCCCTTCTTGGCCTGGACCTATGAGCAGGCACAGCCGCCTGGCCCCCGTCGCTCCAGTTCCTTCTCAACCATCACGGCTGGGTGCACCCAGAGGGCCTGGCATCCCAGGATATGGGACTGGGATTCAGTCACGTTCCCATCAGACCTCTGCCACCGACTAGCTGTCAACAGGGATTTCACTTCCCTAGGCTTCCGTCCCCCCTCCGAAAAACGGGGCTGAGAACGGGGTCTGAGACAGTCAGCACGGTGATCGCTCAAGAAAGGCGACTGTCATCTCACCAGCGCTGTACAGAAAGGATCCCCCTCCGTGTCGGCCTCCACTGGGGAGGGGTCCTGGCATTTTCCTGCAGTCCTAGCACCTAGTGCCACCTCCCTTATAGGCCCGGTCACCCCGAGCCGGCCTGGCCCCCAGCAGAATGGGAGAGGCCAGCGGCAGAGGCTGGACCGGAGCCCAGCACTCAGGCGGTGCCCCGCTTCACAGATCAGCGGCGAGTGCACCAGCAGCAAACAACATAGCAGCAGCCGCTGGACCTGCCAGGTCCAGCGTGTAAACGACAACACGGAGGCATCCTAGGAGGGGGGCCCTGGGCACCCACGGCCTCCTCCCTCGCAGGCTGTAACTCCTTTCTGAAAGGAAGCTGGGTCCCCGTTCCCATTCTGCCCCAAACAGTTAGGCAGAGGTCCCAGGGAAGTGACATGAACTCTCAGTGCCTCGGTTTCCCCTCTGCCTCAGGGAGCTTCAGTGACGGGCAAGGAGGACCCACCCACACCAGCCCAGGACTCCTCATGTAGAGTCGTGTGGGAGGAACAGAGGACAAGGCGGGGGACAACTTCCAGGAGGGGCCAGGAATGTGTGGGGTGGGGATGGAAGGTGCTCCGACCCCTCTGAGCCTCAGGGTCCTCATCTGGAGGGGACACCAGAGTACTTGTGCCTTGCCCGGATTCTATAAATGGAGCTGTTTCTGGAAACGAGAGGAGGTTTTCCCCACAAGGCACTGGGACACGTGATAAGGCTGCAACAGTTAAAAATGCAGGGCTCTGGCCACAGGACCTGCCTCGAGAGAGGGAGGGGAAGAACAACCCCGTGAAGCCAGGCAGCTAGGCCCGAGGGCTTCCTGGAGGAGGCAGCTCTGAGCCCTTCCCGCCACCCCCCCTCCCCTCCTCCCATGTGCCCGCACCTGCCCGTTCTCCTCGTCTGACGATCGCGCTTCCGTCCTCTTCTCCTTGAAGGCCCAGACGGGCACGGACACGGGCAGGGACTTGGCATACTGCTGGGTGGGCAGGGCTGAGGCCGGGGGCACTGAGTAGGTGGGGGGTCCGGCGGGGGTCTCCTCGCTCAGGCTGCCGTCTGGGAGAGAGGGTGGACTTCAGCCTCTGTCCCTGCCTTCGTCCCAGCCCCCCCAGGAGTGGGGACACTCACCATCTGTGCTCTCGGGGTCCGACTCGCAGAAGGGGGGCAGGTCCTGGAGCGTGGCATCCTCGTCCATCACAAAGAGCCCTGTGGACGGCGTGAGAGGCCCCGGCCAGTTGGGTCCCCGCCACACTCCTGTGCCCTGGACTCCAGCATTACCATCGCCTGCCCACTCCCTGATTTGGCCAGGCCCTTGCGAGCCTTAGGGCTTCCAGAATTATCATTCCGTCTGCCTCCAACACCCTCCCCCTGGTCACCGACAGAACCAAATCCAGTTTCTGTCTCTCTCTTACACCCTCAGGTAAAAGCGACTGGCTGGACTGACATGAAATCTGTAAGACTGGTTTAGGATGAAGTGACTTAAAATACAGGCTGAGAGAAAGGAGGCAATTACGATCTTTGTTTGGCAAATGTGGACCCAGAGGTGAAGTCCCTCGCCCCAGGTCCCACAGCCAACAGCAGCCTCACCAGTATTTGAACCCAGCCCACGGGGCTCCACAGTCTGTGCCCTGAACCCAATTCGGGTTTTCTCCAGCAACAGTGAGGAAACCAGCCATTGTAGTAACAGTAACAAGCAACACATACTTACTGAGCACCACCCCCAAACTCCTACACACTCTTCAAAGCCCTAATGCTACAGTCCAGTCTCTAGGAAGCAGCCAACCTCCAGATTCCCCCCAAACAGCCAGGTGCTCCCTCCCATGGCCGCCTCGGCTGTTGCTTGCATCCCTGACTCCTCTTTAACTCCTATCTTGGTCCTCACAGGCATTAGGCACCCCAGATCTGGGAACAACTCCTGCCCTGCTCATGCTCCCAGCTGAGGAGGCCCCTTCCCACCCCACGGCTTCCACAAGACACTGCCCCCTGTCAGGACACTAATTCCTTGGCAGACTGGCTGTCCCTCGAGAAAAGGGCCCGAGCTGGCTTTGGGTCTGTGCCCAGCACCTCCCAGCACAGAGCTGACCCCAGGACACAGCGTCAGGAAAACCGAGGCTCAGAGAGGGGAAGTGACTTGCTCAAGGTCACACAGCAGGTCACAGGCCAGCCAACCTGGCCCCCAGCCTCTTTGAGACGGCAGCTTCCACAGAGCAGGACTCAGGGACCAGCAAGTCCTACCCTCCAGGAAAACCTATCACAAAGGCCACTTGCCAAGCCTTGGGCCTCCCCAGCCCCTGCCCACCGCACCTCTCACCTCCGTTATCACTGACGCCCAGCCGCTCCCCAGAGGTCTCGGTCTCCGTGGGCTCGTCCTCGTCCTCCTCATCCTCCTCCCTGGCCAGGGCAGGCCGGGGTGGGCTCCGGGTGGGGCTGGGCGGCTGTGGCGCTGGTGGGGGCACGGGGGGCCGGGCGGCGGTGGCAGCCCTGTGGGCCAGGGCGATGTCGTGGAGGCAGCGGCGGGCAGCCTCGGCGAGGGCCCCACGGCCGTGGGCTGCATAGGCGCAGGGGCCCGGCCGGGGTGGCGGGGGCGGCGCAGCCGTAAGCAGCACCAGCTCCGTGCCCGTCCGGGCCCGGAAGCGCTCGGCAGCCCCCACCACGGCCTCCCACAGCTCCTCGGGGCGCCCCGATGCCATCCGCGCCCTGTGGGGCAGAGCAGGACATGGGGGGCTGAGGCTTGGCGGACCAGGCCACCCCACCCAGCCCCGTGTCCACCTGTCCTGGCTGCGCTCAGCATCTTCCCCCAAACCCGAGACTCCCCCGGGGCCTCCTCCACACCCAGACCTTGGGGCGCCATCCTCAACCCCGAGCCCCATCGCTCCCGCCCTGCCTCGTCCACACAGCCCCGGTCTCTCCTCTTGGCTCTGCCCTGTCCAAGAGGGGAGCCACCAGCCACATGCGACTGAGGAGCACTTGAGATGTGGCCGGTCCAAAACGAGAGGTTCCGGGACTGTGAAATCCACACGGGGTTTTGAAGACTCGGTGCAAAAAAAGGAGGATGTGGAATAGCTCATTAGCAATCTGAGGGCGTTTCCGTGTGGAAATGACATCTGAGCTACACCGGCCAAATAAAATGTATAGGGAAGTGCACTTCATCTGTTCTCCTTGTACTTTTTTAATGTGGCTTATAGGAAATCTGAACTTAGATGTGTGGCTTGTCCGACAATTCTCTTGCATGCTGCTGCCCCGGACCACCCCATCCCACCCACCACCCCCACCTCCCAGCCACCGGCCTGGCCCCTTAGGGGGCCTTCCACACGCGGCCATGACCCTGCCTCTCCCCAGCACCCCCAGGACAAGGTCACAGCCCCTTGGCCTGGCAGTAAAGGGCCTGCGTGGTCTGGCCCTGCCCCAGCCTCATGGCCTTCTCCACTTCTGAGGCCTGAGGCCTTGGGTGAGGGCGGTCCCCCTACACCCTACACCCGGACCACTTGTTCTCCATTTACCTGTCACTCTCTTGCTCAGGCTAGTGTGTAAGCAGCCCCCCAGCCCGGGACTCCCACAAAGTCTGAGCGACCCCCATTCTAGCACATGTCCCTCTGGGGAATGCTGTCTGGACCACGTCCTTCTCCCCAGCTGGTGTGGGAGCCTCCAAGGGCGGCCTGTCGATTGTCTCCGAGCCACTGCCCCAGCCCAGCACGTGGCCGGCCTCGGAGAGCAGCCAGAGCAGAACATGCCATTCGAGCTGCCCTCTGCGCCTGAGCTCCAGCCGTGAAGCTTTTGGGCTTCCTACGAGACCCTGGGCCTGCAGCTCCTCCGGACGTCTCCCTGGATCACCCAGGATGGGCCAGGTGCCTTCCCAAGACCCGCAATGCCCTGGGCTACCTCCATTACAGCTCATGTCACTGAGCTCGTGACAGCTGTACCTCCATCTGCCTCCTCCATCAGACTGTGGGCAGCCCGAGGTCAGGGATCTGTGTCCCTAGGATAGGTCAGCCCTAAGCAGACAATGCTGGAGGCATCTCCTTAGGATGTGAGACGAGCAAGGGGCAAGGGAGCTGACTTCAGGCCCTGACTGTCTTCAAACGCGCTGTGTGACCTTGGACCATTCACTGGCCCTCTCTGTGCCTCACTTTCTCTCCCTTGTAAAACAGAGTGGTTGAGCCAGGGCTGCTGGGCGGCTGAGGACCCTCCTTGGGGAGGCAGTAGGCACCCCATCACTCAAGGGATCCAAGCAGAGTCGTGACCCAGCCCGCCAGGGTCGTCGTAGTTTGATTTCCTCTGCAACTCATGATCCCAGAAGCCAGTGTTGGCTGAACACCTACTGGGTGCAGGGACTCTGCACCTGTCACCTCCCCTCCTTCTAGCCCCCTAAGGTGGGGGCTGCTCCCTCACAAGCGAGACAACGGAGGCTCACGGGGCACAGAGCCACAGACAGCAGCACCGCTCCCGACAGACCCCGAGGCAGGTTCATCCCACACCTCCCTCGAGCCAGGCAGGGCCCCGAGTGTGTCTTCAACATCCTCATCGCACCGTCTCACCAACCCGGTGAGGGAGCAGCTATCGCCCCACCTGGATCTGGATGCAGAGCCTGTTCTGAATCCCGACTGCCATCCCCTCTCCTTTAGGAGGAAAGATTTATAATCTCCTAGTCCGGATGGGGAAAGCGAGGCCCAGAGAGCTCAGGGCACTGGCTAGAAGGCACACAGCCAGAAAGGGCACCAGTGGGGCTGAATCTGCTAACTGCCCGACTCCAAACCCCACAGAACTGGGGGGCGCTCAGGGTCTCACAGCCACTCCTGGGCTCACCCCCAGCTCATGAAAGAGGAAACTGAGGCTCAGGGCGGGGAAACGACTGGTCTGAGGTCGCACAGCCCAGCAGAGCCAGGCCTGGCGCTCTCACTTCCTTGGGACGCTAGGCTTGAACTCCTCTCTGTCCTGATCTTAGAGGAGCCACAGGGCTGAAAAGCGTGAAACGGGAGGGTCCCCCACCTCAAAGAGGAGGCAGGGGCCAAAAAGAGGAGGGCATCAGGCAGGCCTCTCTGGCAAGGCCTTGGGGGCTCTCTGGAGTTGGTTACCCACCCGGAGAGAGCCAAGACCTGGGGAGTCCTCCCGCGCCTTCAGCTCCTGGAGGAAGTCCTGCATCCTCCAAGGAACTGAGAGATGGAGCCCCCCCTCAATGCAGGAACTTAAGATGAGGGAAAGGAGGAGGTGAGACCTGTCCCCGCGGGAGGGGGATGGGGGCTAAGGAGACTGGCCTCTCAGGATGCAGTGAGGAGGGGAGGGGAGGAAACTGAGCCCAGGAAGAGGCGAGGAAAGAGGGTGAGCGCCCCACTGAGTGAGGGATGCTGGTGAAGCCCCCCTCCCATCACCTGTCAAACTGGAACTGGCCCCCTACTCTCAGGTGGGAGGAACGCGAGGATGCGCCCCGGGGCCGGAGCCGGGGTGACTGTCTGGGGTCTTTCTCCCCCGCTCAGAGACCTCCCCACCTCGGCCAGGGGTCCAGGGAGGACCCACTTCTCCAGGATGAAAACAGGAAATCCCGCCCAGGTGGGGCCCAGGACCGGAAGTCCCGCCTTTGGACGGGTGAGGGGCACCCCGAGGCCCCCCGAGCAACCCCCCGACCCTGCGGACATAGTCCACGGCCAAGGGGAGGACCCCAGTGGGTCTGGAGGCTGGAGGACAAGGCTGTCGAGGATTTGCCTCGGGTCAGACACGACGATGCCCACGGGAGACCCCTTTCCAGCGCTCCGCGTAGCGTCGCTGGGCGATCTCTGCCCTCTGATCTACGCAGGCCATTCCCTTCCCAGGAGCCGCTCGCCCTCCCAGCGCCCCTCTCCTCGGGACGGCCAAATCCTCCCCACACCGCGCTTCACAACGCCGCCTCCACTCACGTGCCCGGAGCCAGCATGGCCGGCCCGGCGCCGTCGCCGCCCGCAAAAGACATGGCGGGACCTCGCGTCACTTCCGCGCGGCTGGCCCCTCCCCACCGCCACGCCCCGCCTCCCTGATCCGAGCCGCCCGAGACCAAGATGGCGGCCGCGGGGCTTCCCGGGGCCACCGCGGGGCAAAGGTGACAGCAGGGCGCCCATAAGAAAGATGGTTGAAAGAAAGGCTTCAGCTTGCCCGGAAACAAGCCTAGACCATCAGGATTTGCCCCTAAGAAATATGGCCGCCCACACTCGCCCACTTCGGACCACCGTAAACTAAGCCAAGAGACCTGAGGTCCCTCACCCGTCATCAACCTCTCCCACAGAAGGGGAGGAAAGCATTTCCCGTTGATGACACGGCAGCCAGCGGGCATCATTTGCCCATAAAGTATATGGGCTCCCCGTCTCTCCAGCCTATCCCCCTTCAGTACCAAGGCTGGCAAAGATCCAACATGGCAGCCTTTCCTGCTTCGGGTTGCCCAGTTTCAACATGGCGGCGCAGGCCGCTTGCTCCCCAGGGTGACTCAGGAATTCGTCTGGAACGGCTTCGTTCTCGGGGATACTGACGGCTTCATCCCGTTAACCCGAGTCCCTCAGCGCCTCTTGTGACGTACAGCTCCTCTCACCTTTTCTTTTATCCGTTTCTCTTTTCCAGGACCCTCCCCCACCCCGCCCTGGAGCGCCCCGCACAGAGATGGGACTGCCCCGCATTAACATGGCCGCAGCGGACCGGCCTTAGCCGTGCCCTTGAGCAAAATGGCATCTCTTTGGCTTCGATGCCAGTACACAATATGGAGAAAAAGTAGGCGTTTCCGAGGGAGCATGAGCGAGGGGGTGGAGCTCTTGGACTCCTTGTTTACTTCGTGGTGACGGCCACAGCACTGCGCTTGCGCACTCTTGCCGGCCCGCTCCACCCTTGGCGTCTGTGCCATGTGACTTCAACCCTCGTGCTTCAAGTTCAACCACCCGATTCTGAAAGATGGTTACACCCACTCCCGTCCCAGAACAGGCAAGGGCGCGACCACTGTCACGGCTTGAGGGGAGTCTCCCATCCGGATGTGACCGCATGTTGACCCGGAAAAGGAGGGGGCCGGGGCAGTGGGGCCCGGGCCGCAGCTATGGAGGGAGCCGGTTACAGGGTAAGCAGTGTGGACGGGTTCTTTCGCTTCTGTCGATGCGCAGCGCCCCACTCCGGTGGCCAGCTTCTCCCTCTGGCCGTGCCGGGGTCCTGGGAGGCCGGCAGCTCCTTAGCAAACACACCATTCCCCTATAAACGCGCTGTCAGCCTCCCCTCCGCTGCCCTAGGGAGACCCTATCTTTTAGCCCCGCCCTCGGGGCTGCTGTGATGCTCTTCTGGGCCCTGCCCCCTTCGGAATTTACTGCCCCCTTCTCCCCCTCCCTCCTTCTCCCCCTCTGCCCCCTCTCCACCACCTAGCCCCCAACGCATGGCTGTCGTAGAGGCTTCACCACTCGGGGCCCCATCCCTTCGGTAAGCGTCCTCTGGGCCCCGCCCCTTGGGGATAGCTCCTCCCCCGGGCCAGCTCCCATTGGCTCCCTCCAGGGCCACGCCCCCGGGGGGGGTAGCTCCTCCCGGGCCCCGCCCCCTTATGGTAGCTCCTCCCCGCGCCCGCTCCCATTGGCCCCGGGCCCCGCCCCTCACCGGCTCCCGCCTCCAGGTGGTGTTTGAGAAGGGCGGCGTGTACCTGCACACCAGTGCCAAGAAGCACCAAGACCCGGACTCGCTCATCGCGGGCGTCATCCGCGTCGTGGAGAAGGTGGGCCGGCAGGGAGCAGAGCTCGGGCAGGCCCGGAGCGGGATGGAGGCGGCCTCTATAGGAGCGTGGGGCCTGGAAGTCAGCGATGCGACCTCAGGAAGGCTGGGTGTGCGGACTAGAGGCGGGAGGGGGGGGGCTTCGTAAGGCTGAGGGTCCAGAACCGGGAAGGAGTTTGGAGGGGAGCTCCTCTAACCCCTCCCTCCTTCCTTCAGGACAACGATGTTCTCCTGCACTGGGCTCCTGTAGAGGAGGCTGGAGATTCCACCCAGATCTTCTTCTCCAAGAAGGTAGGCTTCCCTCGCCTCCCCCCTCACTTCTTGCGTTTTTCTGGATCCAGGCAGTGGAAGGCAGTTGAAGGACCTGAACAATCCCAGACCTCCCCTAGGGGCGTGTGTGATCCTGGCTGGGAGCTCGTGCCTTTCTAGCCCCCTCCTCTCTGTTTAATGGGGCTGAAGATGCCCCTTCGTAGAAAGCAAGCAGACACCCCAAGATCCGTGGCCCTGGGGACTGCTGCCCTCTCACCCCTTTGCTTCTTGGGAGAGCCCCGCCAGGTTGCATCCACGGGCTGTCAGCCCGTAAGAACTTGAAGGGGTGTGGCATCTCCTCTGGGCCAGTCCTGCCATCATGTCCGGAGGGGGAACAGGACCTAACTGAGGCTGCTCACTCCCCTGTGCCAGGACCCTTCCTCCCCCTGTACAGGATCTTGTTACCAGATGCCTCCTGAGGCCTCCTCTGCTGGGACCCAGAGATGAGTCCAACCCAGACCCTGCCTAAGCCCTCATCCCCATTCCCTTTTTGAGAAAGTGAGGCACAATGAGAGGAAGCCCAAAAAAGTTAGGAGGTGTTGGAACTTGGGTTGGAACCCAGACGCTCTGCTTCCAGAGCCCCGCCTCTTCCCCGGGGAGCACACGTTTGGGCTGGGACTCGAGAGATATGGGGATGGGAGGGTGTTTCAGGGGTGGCATGGGTAAGTGTGTTGCCAGGCATGGGGGGAAGTGGTGTGCTCTGAACAGGGGTTTGCTGGGAAGGTGGCTGGGCCTGAAGTGCTGGGCTGAGCAGCTCCGACCCTGTCCTGGGGCCCTTGAGAAATGTGGGAGGAGAAGGATGTGGGTGTGGACTGCCCCTTTGGGGGTCATGTGAGAGGTGGACCAAAGGATGGAGTGGACGGAGATTGGAGGCTGGGAGGTCAGGGAGGAGGCCGGTGTGAGGGATCAGGGAGAGAAGAAGGAGCCTCAGCTGGGGCTGTGGGGTCAGATGATCTGGGGGGGCGGGGCACAAGTGGAGATTCCGAAGAAGCAGTCAAGATCCTGAGTTTTCACTAACTTCGCAGGCAACCTGAGTGCCTTTCTTGAGAATACTGCTGTCCTCCTTGACACTCTGGTTTTCAAATAACAGAAACCCACTGAGACGAGCTTCAGCGGAAAGGGCACATATGCATTCAGGATATACTCAGCTCCAAGGAACACAATACCCGGCTGACGGGTTAGGCAAACAGCTTGTTTCTTTCTTTCTTTCTTTCTTTTTTTTTCTTTGCTGAGGAAGATTTGCCCTGAGCCAACATCTGTTGCCAGTCTTCCTATTTTTGTGCATGAGCCACTACCACAGCATGGCTGCCAACAGATGAGCAGTGTAGGTCCGTACCCGGGAACCAAACCCAGGCTGCCAAAGTGGAGTGCACCAAACTTAACCAGTAGGCCACTGGGGCTTACCCAGAAGTTTCTGTTATCTCACGAGACTCCAAGAGGTGTGGGACTGCCTGCCTTGGTTGATGACATCAGGGCCTGGGTCACTGGGACCCTGCCTCTCTTGTCCCAGTGGCCTTTGAGTGACTGTTTCACCTCCAGCCATTGCATCTGCCTTTTATGGCAGGAAGAAGGGGGCAAGCAGGGTGACAATCACATATGTCTTTCTCATCAGGGAAAGCAAGAGATTTCCCGGAAGCCATCTATAGCAGTTAGGAGTTGCATTTGGCCATGCGTAATAGAAATAGGAATATCAGTGGCCTAAGCAAGATAGAAGCTCATTTCTCTTCTATTAAAAAACCCGGAAGTCAGCAGTACAGGTTCACAGGTCATCAACAACCCAGTTTCCTTCCATCTTTGCTCTGCCATCCTTAGCATGTGGCATCCATCCTCAAGGCTGCCTCTTGGCCCAGAAGGGCTGCTGGAGCTCCAGCCTTTTGGATTGTTTTTGCCTGCTCTATATGTGTGTTGCAGCTTGGCCAGGGAGCTCTGCTCATCACGATTACTCAAGGAAGCGTGCCGCTAGAGCAGCCACCATCTTAAAAGTTGCCATTCGTTGTGGCAGAGGGAAAGAGAGCTCTAGAGGTCTTGTCCTCACAGTTAAACAGTCCATCTTGGAAGTGATATGTCCCTTGGCCAGAACTAATTGCACGGCTCCACCCAACCAGTTGGATTCTGTGAGCTGTGATCTTGCCATGTGCCCAAGAAACAGAGAGCTGCAAGTATCTGATAAACAGCACTATTAACTATCGTTACACTGTGTAAACGTTGATGAAATGGTTGAATCCTTCATGTCACCAAACACAAAGGGCAGAGGTGGCTTTGCCAGGGCTGGTTCGGCAGCTGTGTGGACAGGTGTCCCTGGCTCTCCTTGGCCGTCCCCTCATGGCCCTAGTTGGCTGCCACAGCTCCAGACACCATGTCGTCCCCCAACAGCACCCAAAGGCTAGCCCGAATAGAGTGTTCTCTCCTGCAGCTGCCTTTTGATCAGAAATCTCCCTTCCTCGAGTGCCCCACAGATGTCCTGTCAGCTCCCAGTGGCCAGGGTGGGGTCCCTAGGCCACTCAGAGCTGCAGGGGAGGCTGGGTGAGCAGATATTGGGAGAGCTCCACATCTGCGGTGGGAGGGCCTCTCATCTTGGAAGTAGCAGCAGAAATGGCTGTTGGGTAGCCCCACAGCCTGGGCCTTCTGGCTTCATTGCGGGAGTCACAGATCATGCCAGTTGCTTTCAGCCATAAGAGATTAAACACAAAGAAGCGGAGGCTTAGAGAAGTTGTACAAGGGCTGGAGGAACAGGCCTGACGCTGCAGAGCTGACCTGCCAGGGGAGCTGCCACCATTGTCAAAACAGGGGTGGTGGGGAAATGGGACCGTCATTGGAGCTGTCCAGTTCAAGAACACACCAAAGCTGCTGCTCGGCCCCCACAAAGCTAGTGACCAGGCGCTGGAAGACTGGGCTGGCCCCCTGACGGCCCCAGTTTCCTCTCTGTGTGCGAGAAGATGAAGACAGAGATGTCTCCTTGCTCGTCAGCCTAACACAGCCAAAGGGCAGGAAGTGGCCCTTACCTGGTTCCCACTTTCCGGATCTGAGTGCATCTGATTGGTAGACTCTATCCTGTGTCTGGAACTCTGGCTGCAAGGGAGTCTGGGAAATGTAGTTTTCAGCTTTCTGGCCTTTGCCATAGGGGAGGGGACACCAGCCTGGGAATGGACTCACCGTTGCCACAGTCCTCACACACTTTGTCCCCTCCCTGTCCTCCCGCATGGCCCGTGGCCAGCACTGTGGCCTTTACTGCACTCTGACCCTCTGCCCGGTTCCCCTGAATCTGCCCAGCAGGCCGCTGAGCTCAGGACCCGGCAGCCACCGCCAGCCCCGAGCTGGGCACCTGGTGATTTTCATACCGACCTGGGAGGCGGCTACTTTTTTTTTTATTGAGATAGAATTCACTGACTGTAAAACTCAATTTTATGGTAAAATTTAAAATTTCCCTAGTGTATTTAGCCCAATGGTTTCTAGTATTCACAAGGTTTTGCAACCATCACCACTGTCTAATTTCCAGAACGTTTCATCATCCCAAAGGAAGCCTGTACCCATTAGCAGTCGCTCGCTCCCCAGCCCCCTCCCCCAGCTCCTGGCGACCACCGATCCATTGTCCGTCTCTCTAGATTTGTTTATCCTGGACGTTTTGTATAAATGGAATCCTCTAATGCGTGGTTTCCTGTGACAGGCTTCCTGACTTAGGGTGCTGTAAAGTCCGTCTGCGTTGTACCATCTCTCAATGCTTCATTCCTTTTCTTTGCTCAGTAATATTTCATTATGTGGCTAGACCACGTTTCTTTTTTTTCTGTCAACTTGGCGGCCAGCTGGGCTCTCTCTGCGTCTTGCCTGTTATGAACCGTCCCGTTCATAACTGTTATGAATGGTCCCGGTTTCTCTGCGTCCCCACCCACACTTGTCATTCCCTGTCCTTATTCTAGCCGGCCCAGGCTATGTGAAGTGGGTTCAGATTCGACCTGCGCTGGTGACTCCCGACCACTTCCTTTAAGCACCATGACCTCGGGCAGTCTGGCTGCAGAGCACCGTGGCTCCTGCTTAACTCTCTGCTCCTGACGTGGGGTGTTTTGGTTAGAGCCACCATGAGACTTGGCTTTGAGTCCTGGCCCGGTCCCAGTCCCTGGCTGTGCAGGGTGACCCGAAGCAAGTGCTGTGCTCTCTTTGTGCCTCAGTTTCCCTCTTTGTTCAATGGGGCTACCTTCCAGGGTGGCCTCGCAGCTCAAATCTAGAAACTCTGAAGCCACAGCCCCCTCACTCTTTTCCTTTCTTCCCCCAAGGACGCCAGCGGGAGTGATTCCTGCACCTCGGAGGAGGAACCAACCTTTGACCCCGGCTATGAACCCGACTGGGCCGTCATCAGCACCGTGCGGCCCCGGGCCCGCCGCTCAGAGCCCACGAGAGGTGGGCTGAGCGGTGCCCCAGGGGCGGGTGGAGGGAGACAGGTCTCACCCTCAGGGTCACGGCTGCACGGGCTCTGCGGCCCACAGTCAAGATGGCCACCCGGCACTGGCCTTCCTGTCGCCGGAGAGCAGATGGGATGCAGGCCCATCCCTGGCCCAGGACGTCTCCGGGGTGTGCAGCCTCCCCCGTCCCGCTGGGCTTCCTGATTGGCTGTGGGCATTCTCCCCCATGAGTCCTGCCACTGAAGCTTTCCAGGCCGTGCGGGCACCAGGTGCAGGGTGATTGGGCCACCCTGGAGTCACACCAGGTGCTGGGGGCACCAGGGGAGGCACCCATTAGGGGCTGGGGAAGCCTCCAGGGACAGGAGCCTGGCTCCGAGGGACACTTGGAGTTTTCTGTCCCGACTGAGAACAGCCCAGGCCAGGCCAGCGGACGGGGCGTGTGTCGCAAATCACAGACTTTAGCTGTGGCTCGAGTGTGGGGTCTGCAGTGCAGGAAGGGTGGGAGGGGAGGCGGGCAGGAGGCAGGGGACAGGTGAGGGGCCTCTGGTGAGGGCAGCCGGGGGCAATTCTGGAGCAGGCACATGTCCCCCCGGCTCCCTGCCTGATTGATAGATTCGGTTGTGTTTCCAAGGAAACGGGAGGTGACCTAGAGCTCCCAGAGGGGGCCTGGGGCTGGCTCAAGGTGGGGGTGGGCTCACAGAGCCGACGGTGCCCCCTCGGGCTCTTCCCCAGCTCCTGACACTGCGCCCTCCCCGCAGGTGCGGAGCCCAGCTCCCCCCGGGGCTCCTGGGCCTTCTCCGTGAGTCTGGGGGAGCTCAAGTCCATCCGCCGGTCCAAGCCGGGCCTCAGCTGGGCCTACCTGGTCCTGGTGACCCAGGCCGGAGGCTCGCTGCCCGCCCTGCACTTCCACCGCGGGGGCACCCGAGCGCTTCTCCGCGTCCTCAGCCGCTACCTGCTGTTGGCCAGGTGAGCCTTCTGCCAGCGCCCGCTCTGTCCCTCCACGGCTGCAGCCTGGCCCCAGGGCCATGAGAGACACAACTGAGACGGATGTAAAGTAGGACAGGCTAACTGCCAAGGCCAAGGGGACTTTGGTTTCGGCCAGGACCCGAGCCCTGGGGTGGTGGAAAGAACCGCTCTTTTTCCGAATTGGTGGCACTCTCTGGGCCCCCAGCAGCCCCACTGGATGGAGAGATCCCAGCAGCATCCCATGGCCCCTCGCTGGCCAGGCCAGCCCTGGGTCGTGTGCCCGGCTGGGGTCCAGCTCTGGTCACAGGCCCAAGGGGAGGGATTCCTAAGGGGTGGGACGCTGCCACTGAAGGGGGCGGGAACCCAGGTGGGGCGGCCTGGACCGCGCAGGACGCAGGCCCCACCTGAGTGTCACCGCGGTCTGCTCCCCAGCTCCCCGCAGGACTCCCGCCTCTACCTCGTCTTCCCGCACGACTCCTCGGCCCTCTCCAGCTCCTTCCACCAGCTCCAGCTCTTTGACCAGGACAGCTCCAACGTGGTGTCTGTGAGTCCCAGGGCCAGCGGAGGCGGGGGTGGGGCGTGGAGGGGCGGGGCGGGCAGCGCAGTGGGCGGGGCCTGGAGGGGTGGGGCAGGTGGAGGGGCGGGCTGTGACGCCCCCGGCCCTGTCCCCAGCGCTTCCTCCAGGACCCCTACTCCACCACCTTCGGCGGCTTCTCCCGAGTGACCAACTTCTTCCGGGGAGCCCTGCAGCCACATCCGGAGGGGGCGTCCCCCGACCTTCCTCCGCCCCCCGAGGACGAGCCCGAGCCTGGGTTCGAGGTCATTTCCTGTGTGAGTATCAGGGTGGACCCCACTGTTTTCTGGGTGTCACCTTGGGCACGTGGCTGCATCTCCCTGGGTCTCAGTCTCCTCAGTAAAATGGGGATAGGAATGGCATCTTTCTCTTCGGGTTGCTGAGTGACTTTGCGGAAAGTGCTCACAGCCTGTGTGCCTGGGACCTGTTATTTCTGGGAGGCCTTTCCTGACTTGGAGGTGACTTTGTCATTGACCCAGCGATGGAGACGCTTCCCACCCTGAGCGTTAAGCGTCTGTTGCGCTATGAGGGGCTCTGAGCTGCCGTGGACGGCGCCTGGGAGGAGGCTGGGGAGTGCTGTGGGGTCCCCCCAAGACAGGAGCCCAGCAGGCCGGCCCAGCCCCCGGCTCACTTGCCTTGTGTCCCGCAGGTGGAGCTGGGGCCGCGGCCGGCCGTGGAGCGGGCGCCTCAGGTCACGGAGGAGGAGTGGGCCCGCCACGTGGGCCCCGAGGGCCGCCTGCAGCAGGTCCCGGCGCTGAAAGCCCGCATCTTCTCAGGGGTGAGGTGCCGAGTGGGTGGGGAGGCCTGGGCAGGGGTGGGGGAGGCCCCGCTGAGCTGCCCGCCCCGCTCTGCCCCCAGGGTCTGAGCCCCGGCCTGAGGCGCGAGGCCTGGAAGTTCCTCCTGGGGTACCTCAGCTGGGAGGGCTCGGCCGAGGAGCACAAGGCCCACATGCGCAAGAAAACGTGAGTGAGGAGTGCGGCCCCCGCCCTGCCAGGCCCCAGCCTCCCGCCTCCCAAGTCCGTTGGAGGTTTTGACCCACAGTGTGTCCCAGTGGCCAGCGTGGCGCCCAGTACCTCACAGATGCACAGAGGGGCTTGCTCCCCAAATGTCGGCTGCCAGCCTGCCGTGTGTGGGGCACCGACCACGCACAGGGGACACGGAGGCACACGGGCCAGGCCCGTCTCCATCACTGTTTGCATCATGGCGCCATACCGTTTCCATGACCCCTGGCGGCGGGCTTCCTAAACCCCTGGGGCCCACCTTGCCTCACTCCTGGTGTACGTTGTGCCCCTGCCTTGTGTCCTGGTCCCGTCCCCCGGTGCTCTCCGTCCCTGGGGGTGACGGACTTTCAACAGAAGCCCCAGGGCGTTCCGTGTTGTACGATGTCAGAAAGGGGAAGCAGGGGCAGTGGGAAGATTGACCGGGGGCTCCGAGGCCGTGACCTGGGCTGAGGGATGAGGCGGTGGGGTGTCCAGGCGCTCCCTGGGTGCCGCCCCGTGGGGTGTCCTCACATCTCGCCTCTCGCCACCACTCAGGGACGAGTATTTCCGCATGAAGCTGCAGTGGAAATCCGTGAGCCCCGAGCAGGAGCGCAGGAACTCGCTGCTGCATGGATACCGCAGCCTCATTGGTGCGCGGGGCCGGGCGGCAGGCGGGAGACAGGCGGTAGACGGGTGGGCAGGGAGGGCCCGGGGAGTCCTTGCCTCTTGGCCTCGCCAAGAGCAGAGCAGGGCCATCCACGAGGAGGGGTGCGGGGAGCCAGGCTCCTTGGGTTCAGATCTGCCATCTGCTCACTGTGAGATCTGGGCAAGGACTTTTACCTCCCTGGGCCTCAGTTTCCCCATCCGTGGGTGGTGGAGTAACGGTCGGTGGCTGGGAGGACGTGGTGAGCTGGGAGCATGAAGCACAGTACCTCACTCGAGAGCCTTCGAGGCGGTCTCTGGAGCAGCCCCCACCCACCTGGGATTTGCCGACGAGAGGGCTGGGAGCTGTGCTGGTGGCCCCGCAGCTTTGTCACCTTTGCGCCCGTCCCTACAGAGAGAGACGTGAGCCGCACCGATAGGACCAACAAATTCTACGAGGGTCCCCAGAACCCCGGGCTGGGCCTGCTGAGCGACATCCTCCTCACCTACTGCATGTACCACTTCGACCTCGGTGGGTGCCGGCCGGGGAGGGGCTGGGGCCGGGCCTTCCCTCCCCTCGGGGTGCGCTGGGGGCCCCAGCTGTGCCCTGACCCCGTGTCCCCCCAGGCTACGTCCAGGGCATGAGTGACCTCCTCTCCCCGATCCTCTACGTCATTCAGAACGAGGTGGACGCCTTCTGGTGCTTCTGCGGCTTCATGGAGCTCGTGGTGAGGCTCGGGGCGGGGGGAGGGAGATGGGCCCCCTCGAGGGCTCGGTCCGTCCTCACTGGGCGCCCCACCCGCAGCACGGGAACTTCGAGGAGAGTCAGGAGACGATGAAGCGGCAACTGGGCCAACTCCTGCTGCTGCTGAGGGTGCTGGACCCGCCGCTCTGTGACTTCCTGGGTATGTCCCTCGGCGGGTGGGCGGCTCCGCTTCCTGTCTCCACTCAGCTTGAGCCCGGGATTGGAAACCGGTTCCTGTGCTCCTGGGGCCGGGACTCCTGCATTCCGGCCTTAAAATTTTTATTCGTTACTTGTTCAACATGAAAAATGCTGGAAATTCAGATAAAGAAAAGACAGTGGAAGCTGCCATTCATGGTATTGCTCTTTTGCGTGCAGATGACGGTAAGGTAACTTATTTGTGAGCGTTTCTCTCCTGAAGTTGAGGATCGCCCTGGGGGAGGGAGGGCGAGCTGGCCCACTTCACTGAAGGGGAAACTGAGGCTTAGGAAGGAAGCACGGGCCGCTTCCGGAGCCCTGGGGCATTAGCTGCCTTCCTGTGTTGTTGACAGTTTTCTAAACCTTCACTCTTACTGGCTGCATGGTGTTCTGTCCATTTTAAGGATGTACCAGACAGGCTGGCCCAGTGGCATAGTGGTTAAGTTCATGTGCTCCACTTTAATGGCGTGGGGTTCGTGGGTTCAGATCCTGGGCACGGACCTACCACCGTTCATCAAGCCATGCTATGGTGGTGTCCCACACACAAAATAGAGGAAGACTGGCAAGAGATGTTAGCTCAGGGCCAGTCTTCCTCAGCAAAAAGAGAAGGCTTGGCAGTGGATGTTAGCTCAGGGCCAATCTTCCTCCCAAAAAGAAAAAAAGAAAAGAAAAAGAAAGGAAAAAAGGATGTACAAGAATAGGTTTAACCTGACCCGCTGGACATTTTATTTGTAGTTTTTCATGGTGATGAGTACAGTCTGGATAATTTCTTTAGTTTAAATTTCAAGAAGTGAAATTGTTTCTAGGGCAGGACATGTTTTTGTAGCTTTTGAAATGTTTGACTCCATCCCTGCTTTCCTGGAAAGTTCCACCAGCTTGCCCTTTTGCCAGCAGCAGACACGAGTGCCAGCTTCCTCACGCCGCCTCCAGCACGGGGTGTTGACTAGGTTTCATTTTTCCCCCGAGTGTTCTGGTGCTTGGGCATCCCTTCCACGGGCGAGTGGAAGCCATGGGACTAGCCCACCTCGTCTGGCAGATGGGATGGGAGACGTTCCTGTCGACAGCGGGCATCCGTGTCTCGGTCTGAAGCCTTCCCATGCTGGCAGGAGTTCCTTCCTTGCCCGGGTGGTGAGGTTCTCACGGCCCCGATGCTGCTTCGAGCGTCACTGTGAACTGAAGTGAGATTGGTGTTGATTGTGAGCTTGCTCTCTGCTGAGCTCCACGCCTCCCACTCCTCTGCCCCTCCAGACTCCCAGGACTCCGGCTCTCTCTGCTTCTGCTTCCGGTGGCTGCTCATCTGGTTCAAGAGAGAATTCCCCTTCCCGGATGTCCTCCGGCTGTGGGAGGTGGGCCAGCCTGTTCGGCTGGGAGGGCAGCGAGGGAGGAGAAATTCACCAGCTATCCTGGGAGGTGGGGGGGGCAGACCTGGGGGGACCTCAGGCAGAGGCTGGGCCGTGACCCCTCCCCCCGGCACCCCTAGGTGCTGTGGACAGGGCTTCCCGGCCCCAATCTGCACCTGCTGGTGGCCTGCGCCATCCTGGACATGGAGCGGGACACCCTCATGCTTTCCGGCTTCGGCTCCAACGAAATCCTCAAGGTGAGGCCCTGGCACCCTCCCGGGTCCCTGCCATCTCCCTGCCCATCCTCACCTGCAGTGGACAGGACACGTCTAGGTGTGAACCCGGAGCCTGGCAGTGTGCCACGCCACGGTCTGTACCTTGCAGTAATAGGTACTTAGAATTGTTGAAAGTACTCCAAACAACTAAGCTGTGAGCACCACGGCCTCATGCATGAGGTGGGGTCTGTTTTCTCCTAGCCCAGCCTTAGCCCTGACTCCAGGCTGTGCCCTCACACTGGGGGAGGGGGGGCGGGGGGGCTGTCCCTCCCCCGGTGCATTACCGCCGCCGGCCGCGGGGTGGAGCTCGGGGCCCTGCCCCTTCACGGGGCCCTGCATCTGTCAAGCAGCCTGAGCCGCCGTGCACCCCCATGCCCCAACTCTACCACGACCCCCAGGGGGCAGCCCGGTCTGTCTTCCTCCGGTGCATCCCCAGCACAGGCAGAGTAGGCGCCCGGGGGTGGTTGAGTGCTCGCCGGCGGGCAGCCTGACCCACCCCCTCCCGCAGCACATCAACGAGCTGACCATGAAGCTGAGCGTGGAGGACGTGCTGACGCGGGCCGAGGCCCTCTACCGGCAGCTGACCGCCTGCCCGGTGAGTCCCGACCCCTCCCGCCAGCCTCCCCGGCCAGCAAACCTCTGACTTCGCTCCCCACCCCCCCACCTTCCAGGAGCTGCCCCACAACGTGCAGGAGGTCCTGGGTCTGGTGCCGCCCGCAGAGCCCTGCAGCCCCTCGCCCTCTGTCTCCCCACTGCCGCTGTCGCCCACCCGGGCCCCACCGGCCCCGCCTCCCCCCGCGGACACAGCAGCGCAACCGGACAGCAGCCTGGAGATCCTGCCGGAGGAAGAAGAGGAGGAGGAAGGCGCCAACTCCTAACCCAGCTCAGCCTGCGGTGGCCTGCCCAGCACAAGCACTTTATCCAGCTCCCGCCCCACGTCCCGGTTCTCCCGGAGGCTTGGGGGGGGGGGGGGGGGGGGGGGGGCCCCCCG